GAAAGGTAAGAGGGGCGGCAGTCGCTCCCGAGTGCAGACACCGAGCGCTGCTCGGAGAGGCTGGAACGGAGAAAGTGACTGCCGCAGCTGAGATGTTAGAGCCCCCAAAACTCAAGAATGGGGAAAAAAAACCCCACAGTTCTCAGAAAAACAAGCCCTTTTGGGTTTTTTTCCCCATGTTTTGTTGCTTGCAGCAGTTGGTACATTTCCGTGTAGGTATTTGCACAAGCAGAACGGAAATCACGTGGCTTCTTCCAAACCGCCTGTTGATGGAGCCTTTAGGTCGCATCAGGGATAGGATGTAGTAGCCTTACGTTTCCCTTTGCGAAAGCAAACCCTGTCACACACAACCTGCCGCGATGCTGTTGAGGCAAGTTTACTTCCAGCAAAACTGTCGAAGCTCTGCGTGCGGTACTAGTTTCTTTGTAGGATGGGTGTCGCTTTGGTTGGTCCCGTTCGCTTCAGTGAAAAGTGGTTGCTGCGTAATTAGCCTCAGAAAATCTAAGTGCTTTGAAAAAGCTAATGAAAAACATCCTCAACTGGTTAGAAGGTTGCAGGAAAAGTGGTTATTAAAGTTTCCTCGGTGATTTGTACTTCACTGAAAGGCACACCTTAGCACTTAACCAAGTCAGTAGTCTCTTTCCAAGTTCCCAAAAGTATTTTGCAACAGAGAATCTTATGTGACTTTTTTTGGAGCGTATACCAACACTTTTACTAGTACATTAGATCAAAACCTATTAGTTATTATTTTATATATGTATATTATTATTAGTTCATCTATTAATGAAAAATAATGAGATAAACTGCAGTTAACGTTCTCAATAAATAAAATACATGTTTTGGTCTAATATCCCTCCTTTTTATTGCTCGCTTGATTGAGAATTCATAAAATCAGTTTTCAGAGTGTGTAATTTATAAGCTCATGTGTTTTTATTTTTCTTCATCATCCTTCCTCTGCGTAAGGATTGCAATGATTGTGGGTTTATATGGTAGCTTGAATACTGCAGTGCTAAATACCTCATTAGTTCTTAACAAAACCTAGCTCACACAAAAAGTAGCAGTAAGTGCTATTGTGGGTCTTGAAAACACCTAGTAGGAAAACAGAAAGTATTAAGGCTTAATACAGGGATATAAATATGCCCTGTGCAACATAAGAGATGCTCCATGGTCTCGTTCTTTTAGGGATGAGGCATTATGGAAGCTGTTGTTGGAATTTTTTCTTCTGCCAAAACGTAATTTGAGCTGCAGACTAACAGGCGAGCATTTGTATAAACAAGCTGTGCAAGTCTTGCTATGCAAGATCGTAACTCTTGTGTTGTTTTCTGTCTATTTCAGTGAAGGAAGCTGGAAGAGACTTCACCTATTTTATCGTGGTGCTTGTAGGAATTGGTGTTACAGGTATTTTTAAAAACTATATTCTTTATCAGAAGACGCTTGTCATTAATTCCATCTGGCTTGATTAGGTTTCATTCCATTTGCTGTTGTTTCTGTTACAGGTGGTTTGTTCTATGTGATTTTTAAAGAGCTATTCTCTTCTTCTAGTCCAAGTAAGATCTATGGAGATGCCTTGGAGAAATGCAGATCTCACCCTGAGGTTGGTTTTTGAAGCTTAGTCATGAGTTTATGTTTGTCAGTAGTTCTCAGTTGTCTCTCTTTCGGTCAAAAGTTTGTGCAAGGAATCTCACAAGCAAAGCTACAGGAAGACCCACATGGTGCTTAGCAGGCAAACACCAGCAGATTTGCCTGTGCTTTTAGCTGGCCAGAGGTGGGTCAGCTCCAAGCTGGAGCCTATATTAGGACAAGTTAATGCAGGCACTGAGCCTGAGTGAATTAGCCTGCTAAAAGCCAAGTTACGTGAGCGTACCACAGCACAACAACTGATGCAACAACAGTGTCTGCCCTTGCACAGCACGAGCTTGTGCGTCCATACAGAAAGCCTTACAGACATACCTGAGTGCCTGCTAGATTTTAGGAGTTCTGCCCTCCAGGGAAGCAACTGGTCCCACTTGTGTTGTAGATGGAGCCTGGTGCCTTTCCTCAGCAGTTTTTCTGTTGTGACACTTCACTAGGGTTTCACCGTTCTGCGAAGCACCGCATAAGTATCCAGGCATTTAAACTCTTCATTTGAAACATGGTTAGCTTTCCTGCGGCTAAGAGGAAAAGAGAAAGAAAGTCATGTGATCACTCAGTCACATAAGATAGCTAGATGTAAACAAAAATCAATCTAAAATTATATTTTAAAAAACACTACTTCAGGTAAAACAAGAAATGCATGGAATAGCTTTCAAACAAGGTTGCCACAGATGCCACTGAGGATAACCTAGAAGTGAAATAACAAGTTGTTAATAGAATAAAAATGAAGACTGCTTTGGAAAAAGTTTGTAGAACTAAAACTCCTCTGCAGTACTTATACAGTAAAAATCACCCTCCCTTTCTAACCAACTTTAAAGAAAGTTTAAAACTAGATTAATTTGGTCTGGCTTTAGATCTGAAAAAAAAATAAAAATCATTGAATTTCTTAAACAGTAGTGGTTTTTAGTTAATGTGAGGGGGAGTGCATTTGCATTTTAAACTTTGAAACATATTCTCTTGGAGGAGACATGAGCAAATATTTCATGCTTTTTTTTCCTTTTTACACAACATGTCAGTAAAGTAGAAAATACACAGAGGAGAGGTTAAAATGTCATCATCTCAGAAGACACTACAAATGGAAGGTACTAGTAGGATTTATTTTAGACATTTAATATGTGACTGTAAAGAAAAGCACTGAAATAGAGAGGAGTTTTCCTTACAATTTCTCCTTTCATAAACGCTTCTATTCTTGACACATCAGAGACTGGGGCATTTTGTTGAAAGAAAATGCATTCACAGCAGGGGCGTGAGCTGATACTGTTTGAATGTGATTCCTTCTGACAACTCAAACCTCTTTTCTCTTTTAGATAATTGGTGTTTTTGGTGAATCTATTAAAGGTTATGGGGAGACAACAAGAAGAGGAAGACGACAGCTTGTCAGGTGCCCTTTGGTGTTTGCCCCATACAGACACTAGTTTTTGCACAGCAAAGACATTTTGGGTCACATCATAGCAAGTTAGATCTAGATTAATGAACTGTATGTGACTGATGTCACTTTTGAGTGAAAAATGAAAGCATTTTTTTGCAGTACCTCTTGCGTGGCACATACCACTAAATACAGTGCACATACAATATAAAATGACAATTCTGAGTGCCTCAAAACAAGCAATGGTCAGCATGGTAAACATAGAGCTGATCTCTCTAAAAAATAGGCAGAGTCTGAAGAGAATAGCACAGAGGCCTAGGCTTGCATCTGGGGAGCGGGGCTCTGGCTGAAGTTTGCAGTCTGAAACCCTCGAATAGAGTAAAATTGTTCTTTGAAACATTGTGCTTTTGAGAGTGTTTCTCCTTTTGAAGCAGTAGTTCTTATCTAGCCAGAAAGAGCAGGAGGTACTAACTTCCAGACTTTGAAGAATCCAGCTTGCTCTGTTTGGAGCTAGGCTGGGGCCAACTGTACAGGTTGTAGTCATTTAGTCACCGCGGTGACTGTTGTCCCGACCTGACGAGCAGTACGGACTGCCCTTTTCTTACCTTACTTTTGGGTACTTGAGGCTGCATCTCTGCTGTGTGTTTAACAAAACATCTCTCACCTAAACCTTTCACGAGTGTGTCTATTTATTAATCTCCTTCTGAGGGAAGCAGCAGAACTAATTCTTACAAAATGTAAATCCTCCCTGCACTATAATCTAATAGGGGCTTTGTCTTTATTGGGTTGTTTGACTTGAATTTATTCAAGGAGGTTTATATAGGATGGGACACATAAGCCCAGATACACAATTTGAACCATGAAATGGAGAATTTTTTTTCTGGAGGAAGGTGATTTTTACTGGTGGAAGTTTATCTTTTCACCAGACTCTGTGAAAAAGTGTTTAAAGTGGAACTGCTAAACAAAAAGGATATGTACAAATGTTTTAAGTGTGTGTCTGTAAAACAAGCTATGTAAATAAGTAAAGGTACTATCAGCTTCCCTACTATTTCATTTCCATCATTTTGGAAGTGTGGTATTTTAAATAAATTTCTGAGCTGAGGACTTTGTAGGATGGTAGTGTTTGTGTCTGCAATCTGAGGATGACCTTAAATGTCTCAAAAATGTACCAATTTTTTTTTGTGTGTGAACACCTTGAATGTGAATTTCGCGTTGCAGTGGGGCTGTAGTAAGGCTCTTTATTCATCTTCATTCTCTCTAACCCATCATGTCACCTCAAACTGTACTGGAAGTTTAATTCACAGTGTGTATCTGGGCATGACTGATGGAAATTAGAACTGGTAGTATGCAGCAGGTAGTAATTTCAACAGGGAACATAACCTGGCACCAGAACTCTAGTTTGACTATTAGTTTCTGGAAGTGGTTGTCTTGAAAGTGACGTGACCTTTCTATTTATCTAATATTTGAGCATAACCTAACTCCAGTCTAAATATCAGCATTTAGGTTGGAGATCTGATATCAGTGCCAAAGTTACACAACTTCAGTAGAATAAAATTATTGCCAAAATAAGCATGTATTAGAGTGTTTGTTTTGATGTGATTTAACCAACCTGATAATTAAGATGACAAAACCTTCTTTGTGTGTTTTGGCTTGGTAACTTAGTTTAAGTGCCTAAAAAAACCCCTGGCAGTCTTGGTGATTTGGGTGTTCCTTTCTAGATGTCAGGCTCTGAGTCTGAGGGTTCTTTAGAATAAATGCAAGGACATTCCTGAATCTTCAGCCATTGGATTGCTGTTCAGTTTTGAGGGGAGGACTGGGGTGAGAACATTTAAGCACTTCATCTGTTAATCCTCAACTGCTAATTAGTTCTTTCTTCTAACTCCACTACTCCTTATATGCTCACAGTAAAGCTTGGGAAGGGCACTGGATAAGGAACCCACAATAGCATAAGAACTGCCTCACACATCACTTTCTCACAAAATAGTTAAGCAGTTCCTCTAAATAGGAAGTTTAAATTTGACGTTTAACTAACATATAACGTGTATCCTTGCTGGGTGGGTTGTTCTTTTTGTTTTGTTTTGCTGTTCTTAGTCACATTGAATACATAAAGGATGGACTGAAACACATGCGTTTGAAGTTCTATATTGAGGGCACTGAATCAGGGAAGCGGGGAACAGTCCACGTGGAAGTCAAAGAGGTATGTACAATTGCTTGATATAGCTGACAAGCTTCATCTTGAATGTAAACTACCAAAGAGAAAAAACAGAGCCTGAAATTGTTTTCCTTACAGAATCCTGAGAGAGGAAGATTTGAGGTCCGCTACATATTTGTGGACATCGACACCTATCCTAGAAGAACCATTGTCATAGAAGACAACAGATAGCTGACAATCAAAGTTTCTGCCTCACCTCATTGAGTATTGGATGATGCTGGTGTAGCCAGTCTATACATGAATTGTTTGGTGTTCTCGATTGATTCTTGTGGCTTTGGGGTTGTGTTACAGGACGTACCTTCTCAGGGCATCCATTAAGGTCTGTCATAATAACAGATTACAGGATTTGAAGTGAAGCCAATGAAAAACAGTAGAGCCATCACTTATGGCAAATACTTTTGACATAGGAAAATAATGGCTCATAATAAACAGTTTGATGCTGGATAATACTTCTACACACCCAAAAACAGTCTTCCAAGATCTTAGGTTTGGATGGGGAGTTTTTTTGCCTTCCTTTGCTTGGGTTTCCCACTAGCACTGCAATAAAGAAAGTTGTATTTTAGACAAACTCACTGTTTTCGTTCTGGATGCCTTGGTGTAGATAAGGAGGTAAAATAAGAACGTCTGTTAGTGATGCAAAGGGGATCTAGCCCAAAGGCATGTAAGAAAAAGGATTGTAGAGACACGCATCTGTGGCAAATGACCAAAGATAAAGACCTCACTATTGATACCTTCTAAAGAGATTAACAGCACACAGAACGGCAGTACTGTCTGCCCCTTCCAATGTTTGCCATGCTGCAACAAATGACAGTGTTGCAGCTTCTCAGCACTGCCCGCAGTTCTTCCATCAACTTAATCTAAATCTTGGAATCGGATTCATACTGGTTTACCCAAACTCAAAAGCTCAGCTCATGACTAAATTCTCACCTGGGTTTCTTCCTTAGTGCAACATGGCAGATAGTAAGCATAACCCTGTGTATTAATAATCAGACTCAGTTGTGCCCATCTGTCAAGCAGCACCAACTAAAAAATTTCAAAGTTTAGGTTCTTACATTTAACCGCTTGAGCTTTTTAGTTCACTAGTTAATTATCCCTACATTAAGCACACACTTATGTTCAGTTATCAGCCCTTATTATGAGTTCATGTAATGGTATGTTTGGACTGTTCTAAAGTTCATACAATATTCCCTCATACAGTGCCACAAATATCATATACAGACCTTCAGTAGTACATTACTGGGCTTTAGCCATCCTGTTCGTCTGTCTCCCCATAATCTCATTTGCATAATCATAACAACTAAACATAATACTTTGTTAAACCTGGATAATTCTGCTTTATATTAAGCTCTACAACCTTAACTTCAGTCAGATCCTCATATTGTTCAAAAGTATTTAATGAAGAGGAATCCCACATTCATCACAGTTTGTGAGCAGAGCAGCAACCAATGTCAATCTGATGATTCATGAAATTCTTTTCATCCCTTGATGCTTGTCAAAAGTAAGAAGCCCACAATTTTCCACATAGTCGGAAGCTATGGAAGTCTGTGTCAGTGGCTCCCTGTTGTAAGAATGAGAAATGGTTGTGGCGCTTGATACATCACCATGAAGTAACGGTGAAAAACTTATTTTTACTCACAGTTACTGATGTCATTAATGTCCATCTGGAAAGGTGTCTTTAAATAATGAAAGCAATTGACTCCTTTTGTTCTTCGTGTTATTTTCTTGAAAGCAGAAGAGTCAATAGCACCTTTTGACTTATGACTTCCCAATTCTTAGCATGACACTTGCCAAAGCTTTTGTTTCAGAAGACGTTTTCAAACCAGTCTAATTGATCTATAACCCAGTAAAAAAAAAGGAAGAAAATACCTGAATCCCTCATTGTTTCATTGCAGCCTGGTGCAGTACTGACTGATAGCGTTACGTGCCACGTTTACCTGCCACCACTTACATCCAGTTGCTATAAGCATGTGTCATACGTACCATGGTGGTTACTGAAAACCACCTCTGCAAGCGTTTTGTCATGAATGGAAGGCAGAGCAGGTTTGTCAGAGCACATCAGAAATTTTGCAAGCTATATAAGTTTATAATCTAAGATTACTAGCCTTAAGCCCTTACTATACCTTGATAAAAATATAATCATTCTTCACCTTTTACCAAGCAAGACTGTATAAAAATACACAGTTTAAACTAGAAAATGTAATACTATTTTTGCCCTTCCTTTCTGAGTTTCTACCATATCAAGCTGCCTGAAAGCCATTGTAAACCTCCATGTCAACAACAGAACTGACAGGCTGGGTTTTTCCTGTCCCAGCTTTGCTTTCTTATTAATCCAGCTGTGGCTGGTTTTCAGTGGACTTCGCTGCTGGAGAAAGGAGTACTTCCTAAAGTGAGATGTAAAAAACATTTTTTTTACAGTAAATGGTGTAGGTACAGCAAAGAGGCCAGCTGTTAGGTTTGCTTTTGTCTTGTTTTAGAGCCTTGTTTGCACTGAAGAAAGAAACTGTCAGGACTAGAAGCTTTTTGGGAAAGACAGGATGATGACCTCACATAATGATGTTTTTCCGACAGTGCAGGTATGTGAAATTCCATGTCAAGCTAAAACAGCAAGAATTGGCCATTGGGGTTAATGTGTATGTCTGGCTTCAGCTTAAGAAGACAGACTAAGAATTTGATTATTTGAAACCAGATTTATTTATGGCTTTTTTTTCAGTAGCAAGGACTTCCTAACGTATGCAGAAAGATAATGTATTTCAAGAGTTGTGTGAAAGAACTGTTTGGAAATCAGATCCGTGGTTGTTTGGTCCCTTTGAGACATCAGAACAGAATTTTTTAAAGCTGCCTGTAAAGCTGTCAGTACCACACATCTTACACTAAGTGCCCCTGTCACACTTTAGCATTTGCATCAGGCCTCAATATCGTGCTCCCTAGCCGGGAATAAATGCTACAATTACAGGTGTCAGGAGGAGTCTTAGCAAAGCCAACCCAATGATTCTGTCTGGCCCTTTGGCAACCAGTCCAGACCTGTATGAGAAAAAAGGAGGCAGACCAAAACTGCCAATAAGGAGGAGACATGAGTATAATTTAACAGACATGGATGGATGTGGAGTTGTCCACAGTGCCAATTGACCTTCGCAATTTCTCCGTGATGCTATGACTGTCTAAAAACAAAGTACAGGCCTCTGTTTTATACACTGCATTTCCAGAAACTGAAGAATCCAGAGAAACATCTCAGGGGATTAGGTTAACGTGGCACCAATATGACAGGGTTATAAATAAAATGTTTCTCGTCCTGTACTTACACGGTACCCTGTTACCAAAACGCTAGCTAAATGCGACAGTGAGGGATGGGCATACATGGACAAAATGTTCAGGAAGCTAAACAGTAGTGAGGTCTTCACTGGTGTCTCTTTAAGAAAACTATCTAGCCATAAATATCCTTAACCTTCAAAATGTTCTGAAAATCACAATATTCCATTTAAACTTCACTCCTTCCCGTCTTGTCTATGTCTAGAAGTAGTATTTATCAGGATATGTCCTCAGTCCATAAAGTGCTCCTTATGATTTTATTTTTTAATTGCCTGCATCACCTCCCTAGCTAAAGTGAGGTACAAGGTATTTTTCTTTATATTTCTGGAATGGGGGGACGTAGCTCTTTTCCTGCTTCATGAAAGAGCTGGCAATATATTTAATAAAATGAAGGCAAAATAAAAGAAGTAGCAGAAGAAATCCCCCTTTACCTGGGCTTAGATATATTAGTGTTCTTAATTTGGACAAATGACAAATACAAGGCTCAAATGCTTTCAAATCCCAGTGGAGGAAAGTTTTTCTAGTAAAAATTCTTCAGTGAGGAAAAAAAAGGAATTTCATAGCTTGATTTATCATCCTTCTCCTAGCTAGATACCTATCACCAGGGAGATTATTTAAGCCCCATGGGATTTCAAGGGTATTAAAGTTTTATATGTATGTATTTTGGCTGCAGAAAAATAAGTTAAATGGCTCTTGTTAACATAGAAGTCTTGTGGGAACCAATTCATTGATCTCTTCTGTAGAACCAATTTACCTGGTGGTAGTTTTGCACGGGAGTGGAACAACTGCCTTCACTGTGTTTAAGCGTAATGTTTTAGAATGCCGCTGTTGCGATTTGGAAGACGGTTAGCCTAGGTCGTTCCTTAAAAAGTTGTCCCTGCTTCACTGGATCATTGCGCTACCAGTAAGGGGTGCAGAGCTCCTCCTGCATGGCAAGCAGCTCAGACTGCTCCGGCCGCTCTGCTGGGTGATGCTTGGCTGGGGAGAAGACAAAGTAACTGGAAGGTTCGGTTCCACTTTTTGCTAAACACAAGTAATAAACATTTTGGCGTTTCCTTTTTAAAGCTCTTTCCTCTTCTTCTCTGGGAAAGCACAAAATTATAGCATATGCCAGTTACTTGCTGATGTAAAACTGTCATGTTATTGTTACTGAAGCTGTGAGAAAAAAAAATAACTGCCAGGAAGTCAGAGCCAAAACAATGACATTTTCACGGAAATTAAACACATTTTCCAGAGTCAAGTTTTGATCGTTGCAGAATTAATAAATATATTTATGCTCAAATCCCCATTGTCGTTTAGGAAGTGAAAATATGCCACTCACCAATGAAATGCTATTTTTCCAGAAACATCGTATGGCAGACTACTCAAAATGTATTTGAGGTAGGTTTGCGACTTGGTCTGAACTTACCCGTCTCTGCCTTCATTTTTGTGGATGTCAAAACTTGTGTATATAGTATAGGTAGCCAACATCTTAGAGCTGGTTTGTGGGAATAATAATGTTACTTTGTCATTTACATGACCTCTGTTTGAGTCTACGTCCTGTGTATGCTTGCTGTGTTGTGACAAAAAGAAATATACCTTCAGGAAATTAATTTTGTAAAAACTTTAAAATATCAAAAAATGACTAGGCTTTACTAAGCTTCAGTAAACAGAAGGTCAAGCAAAGAAAACGGAATTTTAGACTGGGAAAGAGAAATGCTGTTGTGCATGACTGATGGTTGAGTTTAAAAATGACCTTGATAGATAAGTAATTCTAGCATGAAAATCAAGTTTCAACAACCGATTTAGGCAATGGAGTCGTGATCTTGGGAATGGTTACAAGTAAAGGCATGTCTGATACAAGAAACTTCAACAAACTCACTTAACAAGCAGGGAAGACAGGAATATGCATATGACAATTATTCTATCACATGCCAACTGCAGAAATAAAACGACAAAGACGTGCTGGGGGTTTTCAGAATTATTTTCAATCCACTTTGTTCTCAGCCTCATCTTGCTATCACAAGGGATGCCATCCATCCAAATACTCATGGGATTATTCCAATGTGTAAATTATTAGCAACCTAACCTGTAAAAGATTAGGTCCAAAAAACATTGGGGGCACATTTTGAGTCAAAGCCCACTTTTAGGATTCATTACAGCCTGTAAGCTGATGGAAATACAGAAGGAAAGCACAAAGATTTGAAAAAAAAAAAACAGATTAAAGGATAAAAAGTTTAATGAAGCAAGCTTAAAGATGAGAGTAAGGGCTCATAACTGGCCTCTGTATTTGGGGTTGGGAAGTCTGCTTGAAAATCTAGAATACAGTTGGCACTGGAAAAACAGAGAAATTTGAAAGCAAAAATATCTCCCCCCACTTTTTTTTTTTTAAGGCCTAATCCCTAGAGATATGTTCACTTGCTCAGAATAGAGAATAAAAGAACTCCAGTGCACATTCTCCTCAGGCAGCTGGAAATGCATATCATTATGATATAATATACCAAGGAGTATGAATTAATGATTCCAAAGGGTTCTGTAAATAATTGAACAGCAAAAGTATTTGATAGTTTTTCTTAGGAAGTTCTCTGGTTTTTTTTATTTTGTATGTGTTATGTGTAATAATCTATAGGAATTATAGAAGAATGTGAATTAATACCATCCTGTATTCAAATTCAGTATATTTAGACTTTGATATCTAGTTAAAAATTGAAAATGTAGCAACAATATTTTGCAAGTAAGAGGAAAGA